AAATAAAATAAGTGTAATAATAAAGTAGTTTATTTTTTAAAGATTTGTTGTGTGTCTCCCCTTTTTTGAATACACTATATAAACCAAACCAATTGCCATGGAAAGAGAAGCAGAGTACTCTTTTCCTTCACAATGGTTGAACCCAACGCTCTGCCTCTGTACGAAAAAGCTGGAGTTCATAGACCAGTACAGAGAATATTGGATGTTACCATCTTCTTCCTCCTGATTTCACTGCTCGCCTATCGCCTCCTCTTCCTCCATCGCCATGGATTCACTTGGCTTCATGCACTTGCCTTCCTCTGCGAGTGTTGGTTCGCTTTCACTTGGGCTCTCCTTGTCAATGTCACATGGAATCCGGTTGATTACAAAACGTATCCAGAACGCCTCCTCAAACGGTAATTTATATATTGATTCTCCGGATTTTGATTTTTGTAATTTTGTATCGGACCATTTCTTAGAAGTTCTGTTTGTCTGTTTGTGCTTAATGATTGGAAATACAGAGTCGAGGATCTTCCTCCGGTGGATGTATTTGTTACGACGGCGGATTCGGTGCTTGAGCCACCGATGATCACCGTTAACACGGTGCTGTCTTTGTTAGCCGTCGATTATCCGGCCAATAGACTGGCTATCTATGTCTCTGACGACGGTTGTTCTCCACTCACTTTCTATTCCCTCACGGAAGCCCTCAAGTTTGCTAAAACTTGGGTTCCTTTTTGTAAGAAGTATAAGGTTGAAGTTAGGGCTCCGTTTAGGTATTTTTCTAATGATTTAAGCTCTGATGGAACAGAGGAATTCCAGTGCGAGTGGAGGAGAGTTAAGGTAATAAGAACTTGAATGATATGCTTTAGAAAACATTGGGGATTTTCGAGAGAGATTTTGACATCGTTTCTGTCTTTACTGTTTGTATGATAAGGATGAGTACGAGAAGCTACGCCGAACCATCGAGGAACCAGCCAAAAATTTTGCTTCTCGCGAGCTTACGGGCGATTTGGCAGATTTCTCTAACACGAACTCAAAAGATCACCCCCCTATAATCAAGGTACAGCTTCTTAATTATAAATTATCCCATCCAGCAATTGTTAACCCTATGTTCTTCATTTTTAGCTTATGTTCAACTAGGAGGCTGCACTAATTAAACAATTGTTGACAGAAAATTAACATTTGAACATATCTCATTTGCAGGTAATTTGGGAGAACAAGGAGGGGCTCTGGGATGGATTGCCTCATTTGATTTATGTCTCGAGAGAGAAGAAACCCCAACATCCACATCATTACAAAGCTGGTGCTATGAATGCTTTGGTAATTTCAAATCATTCCTTATCTTAAATTCTCCATACATTCTGTGACCTTTCTTAATGAGACTTGCAATGTATGTTTGATTTGCAGGCCAGAATTTCAGGATTGATGACCAACGCGCCTTATATGTTGAATGTAGATTGTGATATGTTTGTGAATAATCCTTCTGTCCTTTTACAAGGAATGTGTCTCTTTCTAGACCCAATTATTGATAAAGAGTATGCATTTGTTCAATTTCCCCAATGCTTTTACAATGGACTCAAGGATGATCCCTTTGGGAACCAATGGATTGTCATGATGGAGGTGACTTATTAACTTGCAATCTTCTGTACTTCATATTGTAGTATTCTTTGCCTGATGTTTACTATGTGTATTTTGTTTTGGCAGTTCACTTTTCGTGGAGCGGCAGGGATTCAAGGGCCTGGTTATATGGGAACAGGATGTATCCATAGACGAAAAGTCATGTATGGTCAATCCCCAGATGGTACAAATATTAGCGGTAATTACTACAGTCCATGATGCTTCTACTCAAAATACTTGATTCATTTCATGTTTGATTACATAATTTATTTCCGTTCATTTTTCAGGGAAGCATTGTGACGATGAACTGCGTAAAACATTTGGAAATTCGAAAGATTTCGTGAACTCAGCCGCTCATGCTCTGAAAAGCCTTACTGATTATCCACATGGCCTATCCAATTCTATCAAAACAGTAAACGAAGTTGCTACCTCTGACTATGAACGCGCTTCTTGTTGGGGTACCAAGGTTTACTACTTCAATTCATATACCTTTTTTGTCCCTTAATTCACGACTTGGGTTGTAGTTTTATCATAAAAAATAACTAGATTTAACTGTTTCTGTGTGGAGGATTGCCCAAATTATGTGCCGAAAACTGTGTATCAGATAGACTTCGGATATTGAATGTTAGCTCTAGTTTATGTGAGCTTGACCACAGATATTCTACATTATAACATGTCTGAAGTCTAAATGCAAATTTGAAGTTAATTGTGTCATATCACCTTGTTTGCTTCAATAATTGTTGATTGGTTCTTAGGTGGGTTGGCTATATGGATCGTTATTGGAGGATATGTTGACTGGGTCGGAGATCCATAAGAAAGGTTGGAAATCTGCCTACCTTACACCAACTCCACCAGCCTTCCTAGGATGCGCGCCCTCAGGCGGTCCAATTCCATTAAACCATCAGAAGAGAGCAATGACAGGACTACTTGAAATTTTATTCAGCAAAAGATGCCCCATGTTCAGTGCTCTCTTTGGTAAGCTCCAATTCAGGCAACGTATGTACTCTGTGTGGATATCTCTTTGGGGCATTCGTTCTATTCCAGAGATTTGTTATGCTACTCTGCCAGCATTCTGTTTGATTGCCAACTCCCATTTCTTGCCCAAGGCAAGTACAGAATTCAACCTCTAAATCCCAAAACTTATTTTTATTTTGTAAAATCTTGTTAGTTTTTTGAAGAAACTGAACATAAAGGACATTGAATTTCTGAATGCAGGTACAAGAACCAGTAGCATGCATCCCTATCCTGCTCTTTGTGTTTTACAATCTACAGCAGCTGTTACAGTATTTGGAAACAGGCCAATCAGCAAGAGCCTGGTGGAATAACGAGAGAATGGCAAGGATAAACACAATCTGTGCTTCCTCGCTTGGGGCAGTGGCAGTCGTCCTCAAGCTATTAGGACTGTCAGAGACTGTGTTTGAAGTAACAAAAAAGGAATCGTCTTCCTCGAGTGATGACACAGACAGTAGTAGCGATGGGGACTTGGGTCGTTTCACATTCGATGAGTCCCCAGTGTTTGTGCCTGGAACCACCATTTTGATTATTCAACTGGCAGCGCTTTCAGTCGCTTTATTAAGGATAAGGCAGCCCGTTGTGCAAGAGTTTGGGGTGGGGGAGGTGATGTGCTGTGTGTGGTTGATTTTGTGCTTCTGGTCGTTCTTGAAGGGGATGTTTGCAAAGGGAAAATATGGGCTTCCATGGCCCACCTTGCGCACGTCCAGTGCTTTGGCATTCTTGTTTGTGTACTTCTGTATTATGTCTACAAAGTGACGAATAAATGTTGGTCTGTTTAATTACTTGTAATCCAGGTAGAAACATTATGGATAATTTCGAAATTATGTTCGTATCACTACTATTATTACAAAATGTAAAAAGGCTGAAGTGTTATCGTGAGAATCTACATCAGTTGTAGAGGGAAACGAGGGTGGAAACCTCTTCCTAGCAAGCGTGCTTTAAAATCGTGAGGTTCATAGCAATACGTAACCGATCAAAGTAGACAATATTTGTTAGTAGTTGACTAGGGTTATTACAATTATTAAACTAAGAACTTTGAGAATTAAAAGTGAAGCTAACTATCCTCATCTCAACTAATATAATTGGTGCAAATATTTATCTTTGGTTAACAAAAATATCGAATATGACATTGATACTCACTCTATTACCACATACGTACTTTATACTTTAGACAAAATACAAGACTTTCCTACATGATTACTGGAAAAAAAAATGTTTTATATAACCGCGACGTCGTAGAAGTCACTCTCTGCTAAGGACCAAGATGATTTTGTCGTTCTTAGTCTCTGTTCACACTTACACGTCATATGCTTGTATGGATAGTTGTCAGAGGTGTATGACATGACGAAGAATTGCAACTATGCATCCTTGAGCTAATTAAGTCCGATTGAACATGTGACAAGCATCCATTGAACCCATAGCACCATTTATACGGTTAATATGTCAATTCATCAAGTGAAATTTTTGTCTCACACGTAAAATGCTACTGAACATTTTACTTCAAAATTGTTCTATCAAGTAATAATTTAGTTTCTCGCCATTTTAATTTTTATATTTTTAATTTGATAACAATTTAATAAAATTGAATGTATTCCTAAACTATTAAAACTAAAATATTACCAAATAAAATTAAAATATAACTTGACCTCCAAGAAAATGAATTATTAAAGCATGCAGCACCCCGAAATTGAATCTAATTATTATTATTATTATTATTATTATTATTTTAATTCTTTATTTTTCAAATTGAAGCATAAAGTGCTCTCAATCTTCTATCATATGATGAGGGGTTGTAAGTTTTTATTTTATTTCTCTACAAAAACACCTCTCAAATGAATTTTATTAAATATTTATATCTGAAATTCATTAGTTTATAAGTATTATACGATTTAATTGATATAATTATTAGCTTAATTCAATAATAAATTAATTTTTCTTCAACTAAATTTATAATTAACAATTGTTTAATCTAATTATACTATGCTGGATTACAAACATTAATTTTGCCATCCAAATAATCACAAAATAAAAAAAAATAAAAAAAGAAAAATCAATAAATAAAAAAAACACTATTGAAAGCAAAGCTTAACACTTCTTTCAGTCAGATTCAACGTATTTGACTTTGTCGTCTGTCTTGGGAGTCTTACGTGTCAGATTTTGATTGGATTAAAAAACATACATTGGTTTCTTAGACTATTATCCTTATTTTATTTTACTCCATAAAAAAATAGCCATCAATTATTGGACTTGATCATACCAGCAATGCATCGAATCCCATCAAAACTCTGCAATATTGTTGTGGATGATTATTAGGATTGAGTTTCACATTGGTTAATTTAGTGGAAGATCATGAATTTATAAGTAAGGAATACTATCTCAATTAGTAAGTTATGAGAGGTTATGCTTAAAGTGGACAATATCATATCATTAGAGAGAGTGTTCATCTCTAAAGAGAATAATTTATTTTTTTAAACAAAAAAGAAAATTGTTTTTTTTAAAAAATTATATAATTATTCCATTATATTTAGACCAGAATATTATAATCTCATAAGAATTCAGAGCGGAACAGATTGAAATGGCGGAATCCAACAGTCTTCCTCTGTACCAAAAAGTGGATGTCGTCATCTTCTTCCTCCATGTTTCACTGCCCTGTTATCGCCTGCTCTTATTCCGCCGCCATGGATTCAGCTCCCTCTTCGCCATTGCCTTTCTCTGCGAGCTTTGGTTCACTTTCTATTGGGCTCTCATTACCAATCTCAATTGGAGCCCTATCCCCAACGCCTTCTCCAACGGTAACCCAAAATTCATTCCCTTTCCTCTCCAATGCTTACATTCTTTTTTCTTCATTTTTTGAGTTTTATTTTTCGAAATACAGAGTATCTGAGGTTCCTCCGGTAGACGTATTCGTTACAACGGCGGACCCGGAGCTGGAGCCGCCGATAATTCTGATAAACACGGTGCTGTCGGTGTTAGCAGTGGAATATCCGGCCAATAAATTGGCTTGTTACGTCTCTGACGACGGCTGTTCATCACTCACGTTTTATTCCCTCTCTGAAGCTCTTAAATTTGCCCAAATTTGGGTGCCGTTTTGTAAGAAATATAAGGTCCAAATCAGGGCTCCGTTTAGGTATTTCTCTCGTGATTTAGACTCTCATGGATCAACGGAGTTTCAGTATGAATGGAGGAGGATGAAGGTAACCAATTTTTTGGAAGATAATTCTTTGCTTTAATTGCTTATTTAAAGGAAAAAAAGAAAAATAAAACAGAGGATGGTTTTTGAGGTGGTCTTGTTTTTGTCATGTTTGTGTAATTAAGGATGAGTACGAAGAGCTTCACCGGAGGATTGAGGAAGCCGCCGCCGCCCCCAAAAATTCTTCATTTAGTAACCTTATGGGCGCGTTCCCAGATTTCACTAACTCAAAGCCAAATGTTCATGGCTTTCACAAGAGATTTTAAAATGTCTGCTAGGCAGAGGTTTCCACACCGATGTGTAATCTTACAATTCACCCCCAATCTACCCCCTTCGGGACCCAACATCCTCGTTTACACTCATTCTTCTCTCCAACCAACGTGGGATGTGGGATCACACAATCCACCCCACTTCAGGACCCAACGTCCTCGCTGGCACGCCAGTCAGTGTCCACCCCCCTTCGGGGATCAGCGTCCTCGCTGGCACATCACCACTCACAAATATTATGAGCCTTCTCTTTTGGTCTTCCTCTCTTTAATGATTTCTGATTGATCACCATCAATATGGAACTAGCTCAGTCGATTAAGATATTATATTCTCGATGACTAAGGTTTGTAACTTTAATTCTCAGTCCTACTTGTTGAACACAAAATTGCAGGTGGGTTGACAATATGGATCCGTAGTGGAGGACATGTTGACTGGGATGGGGATCCATAAAAAGGGATGGAAATCTGCATACATTGCACCAACTCCACCAGCATTCCTAGGATGTGCACCCATGGGTGGCCCAGTTTCACTAGGCCATATGAAGAGAGTAATGACAGGACTGCTTGAAACTTTAATCAGCAAAGAGTCCCCCATTGTCACTGCTCTCTGTGATAAACTCCAATTTAGACAACGTTTGATCTATCTGTGGGGGTATCTGATCAGCATTCGTGCTATTCCAGCTATATGTTACGCTACTCTACCAGCATTTTGTCTAATTTCCAACTCCCATTTCTTGCCCAAGGTAAGTATAGAATACAATCCCTACATCACCTAAATAATCAGAGATAGATATTCTAGTTTTAAACAAGACTTGTTAAGCAGCTATGGATTTCTCAATGCAGGTACAAGAACCAGTACTGTTCATACCTCTCCTTCTTTTCGCCATTAACAATCTACGGCAGCTGTTAGACTTCTTCGAAACGGGCCAATCTGTAAGAGCCTGGTGGAATGGCCAGACAATGGAGAGGATACTTGTAATGGTAATGAGTTCGTCCTTGCCTGGAATGGTGGCTGTACTCCTGAAGATTTTAGGATTATCAGAGACTGTGTTCGAAATAATGAAAAAGGAGTCATCATCTTCTAGTGATGACAAAGAGAGTAGCGACCGAGATTTGGGTCGGTTCACGTTTGATGAGTCCCCAATATTTGTGCCAGTCACAACCATTTTGATGATTCAGTTGGCAGCACTTTTGATCAGCTTCTTGGGAACACAGACAAGCGTTCAAGAGTTTGGGGTGGCGGAGGTGATGTCCTGTGTGTGGTTGATTTTGTGCTTCTGGTCGTTCTTGAAAGGGATGTTTGCAAAGGGAAGCTATGGGCTCCCATGGCCAACCTTACTCAAATCCAGTGCTTTGACATTCTTGTTTGTGTACTTCTGTCAAGTGAAATAAATAAATTTTGGTCAGTTACTAAATTTTGTATTCAATCAAGGATAATTTTATGCTTTTGATCACCTTCGTGCAGGGGTTGTCTACTTGTGTCACAGCTTAGTGAATAATATTGTCATCTGGGAATCTTCTGCATTTTTGTTGAATGGTGTGTGTATATATATATCTACTCATCAACATGTTAGTAATGTCTGCAATGGATATCAACGACATTTGGCCATTTTGTAAAATCAAAGAATGCATTCCGTAATAACTAAACTAACACTAAGCTACAACAAATTTAGAAAGGATGGAAAGAAAAATACAGGAAAAGCTCAGTGGCAACGTGCTTCTTATGAAGAAGAACTAAAGAGGCATCACTTTGGGGGGATTGAAAGATTGCTTTCAAGCATAAAAGATAGTTCGTGCATCTTTGCGACCGTCACGTGTACGTCATCTGAACTTGAACTAGTACCTGATGCAGCCCGACACTTCGTAGCTTCCAAATTTTCTCCAGTTTCTCCATTCTCTTCACTCATCCTGCAACATGAAAAATGTAAGCTAGGGAACAAGTTATCTTGTAGTTTCCATAAAGCATTGTTAGGAATCACGACTCTCTACAATGGTATGATATTATCCACTTTGAACATAAACTCTCATGGCTTTACTTTGGGCTTCCCCAAAAGGCCTCATACCAATGGAGATGTATTCCTTACTTATAAACTCATGATCATTCTCTAAATTAGTCAACGTGGGACTCCCTCTCAACAATCCTCAATAAGCATAAGATTAAAGGAAGGTTGAATTGGAGTAATGCATTTGCATGAAGAACAAAGTGATGACTGATGAAGAGTCTGAAAGTAAAACAGCCTTGAAAACCAATTAAATTTGGTGAGCATAGAAGGCAAAATGAAAACAGGGAACCTCCTAGCCATGGATTTCAACTGCAATATGTTTACAAGCTAATAGGTTGCTTTGCAAAAATAATTGGCTGGCTTGTACACACCTTCTTACATCAAAGGCGGCATCTGGCCTTGTTGCTTTTTCTTGGGATATACCATTTGGATTGAGGAATGCTCCTGCAAATGAATTTGGCCGAGAAGGGCCTTTCCTAAAATTATCAGAAGGGCCTTGCGTATCTTCCAGTTCTCCACTTCTGGACTTGCTTTTGAGTCCAAAAACTGATTTAGAACTATCACGAGAAGTTGCAGAACCAGCAGTCTGAAAACTTGCCTCCCAACCAGAAAAGGAATCATCGCTCTCATGTCTAGTGGCCCTAGTAGTCATCTCAGAAGATGGAACGTTTCCAAACAAACTAAGACCTACATTATCCTTATTAGTTTTGGTTTCAGAGCCATCTATTTGTGCATTCGGTAGTGGTAGCTCATCAGATGCTTTTGAAGTGGAGTCATTTTTTCCCTCAGAAAAGTAGCAGTCCAGTTCAACTCCAGCCAAATTCAAGGTACTTTTACTTGGAGCTGAGGTATCGTCTGAGAGCCCCATCTTTTCAGTTTCAGGCCATCTGATCTCTAAATTCAAAAGATCTGTAAGGGGAAACTGCTCTGGTGATTTTCCGCGGTTTGATTTCTTCAAATCGATTGGACCTACCATTTCCTGCCAAAATTTTGAAATAAATTTCAAAGGATCTGCCCGAAGGAACCCCAGGCATTCAACAACATCAATCAATTATCTAATACTATCTCAACGTCCACAAAGAGCGTGAATCCAATGTGCACAATTTCGAAAAATTATCCATTTCAGATATGTTCTTGAATTCACAGACATTCTCCTCGAATACCACACCAATGAATATTATAATTAGATAGTAAGCCATGCCAGAACAGTCCGAAATTCTAAAAGATTTTCTCATAAACTAGAACAAAAATTTCCATCAATCCTTGAGACTATAAGAATCAATGCTGTATTCTAGAATCAGCAACAAAATTTTCGAAACAATCTGGCCTAAGTGAAACGAGCAAGAACTGATGTTTAACTTTTCCCTATTCCTACATGATTCTTAGCAAATATATAAGGAAAAAGAAACAGAAAACCCTACCGATCCATCCAAGTCAAAGGACTCGAGCAGCCAACGACAAGCAATGGTATTCTTGAAATTAATGGGGTCAGGAGGGACCTCCGTGCTCTGTTCCCGACCGCAGAAAACGCAAATAAATGACTTCAAATCTCTAAGAAATCTTCCACGGCAGTGTTTGCAGCGAAGACAAGGTGGCGAGGGATCGAGTTCTGCAATTGTTTCATGAAGCGAAGGTAGATTTGGAAGCGAAGGATCGTGAGGGTCGTAGGAGGAGATTCTGGCACCATTTCGAAGTGAGATCTGAAGCTGTTTGATCAGATCGTGTGGGATTTCATACGCCATTGATTTGGTTTATAGGCGTTCGCAGTGTCTCCAGGTGGTGTGAGCTACAGACTTCTCTCCTTCTGTGTGGATTTCGAAAATGAAGAAGATCGATCCCTGGTTTTCTCGCTTCACAGACACAGAATGTCCAAAACGCTGCGTTCCATTGAAGGAATAACTCCCAATAAGAGGTAACTACTTCCCACTTTATGGGAGTTTTAAGGTCGACTGTTCAACACCAAGATCGTAAAATTATAATTTTATTCTTGAATATAAATTTTTTTAAATTTTGTCGTAAATTTAAATTTATAATTTAATTTAGGTAAATTTTTTCAAAATTTTGGTCAATAAAAATAATTATCATTAAAAAAAGTTCTTAAAGAATTTATCTCAAAAATATATATTACACTTCAGTTCTAATTTTAATATAGGTTTAGTTACATTTTTATCTCTTAAAATTATTTATAATTTAGTATTTTTTAGTCCTTCACATTTAAATTTATGATAATAATTTCTTAATTTTGATAATAAGAAAAAAATTATAAAAAACTGTTTGTAATTTACAAATATATCCTGATCTTTATCTATTTATATTATTACATAAAAAAACATAAATTTATAATAATATTTTTCATCATAGAATGTTATTAGGATAAAAAATATATGTCATCGACTAAAAGATAAAATATTTAAATTTTAGGAGATTGATGGTCAGGGTAAATTTTTTATAATTCATTTAATATTGAGGATGGTAAAGATTTAGTGAAAAGTAAACGTCTCATCACAATAAAAAATGAAACTTTTTAAAGATCGGGGCGAAAAACACGATTAAAAATAAATTTTGATTCAAAGTTCATAAAAAAGATTAGGTTCACACAAAAATTTTGGCTAAACTTGATACTAAAAAAGGATTCTATGTTCTTTCTAGCATATCGTCGAAGAAATCCCTTAAAGAATAGTGGTTTTGGAACCCCTTCTTTGTTATCATAAATAAAAATCATGTCCTAAATCCATCTGCAACAATATCTTTCCATCAATCGGATCGTTCGATCAACCGTTTTTCAGGATACGTAGAGCCGCTCCGGGAGTGAACTTCCTTGCAAACAAGAAGCATGGCGTATACGTCGAGTTAACACGACACCACTCGGTTCGGTGTTTGGATTCAAAGTCAATGTGGTTGATTTCCTAGGAGATGAAAATAATAAGGTAACAACCAAATCAGTTTAAGGTGTTCTTATGAATCAAGCTTTTTGCAGACTAATGCATCAACATTGCCAACACTGACCTTTATTTCTTTGATTATCAGAGGAGTTGCATCTGAATATTGGAAAGTAACTGGATGCCAAGATCTTTTGTCCCCTTTTGGGATGGAACTGTTCCACATGGTGTACGTCAACGTTCGTCGTTCGAGTTCGTTCTCGAGATCTCTTATCTTACAATAACACCACACGAATAGTTTTTACGAATGTTGGAAGATAGGTAGTTAATAAGAATAAATATTGTGTCACATCCCGAATGGAAGATCCTATCTTGGAAACAAAAAGGCAAAAAAAAAAAAAAACAGTTCACAGAAGCAACTTACTGAAAGTATAGTCTGCACATAATGCTCATCTGGTATGCAGTTGGGATGATACTTCACCTTCTGAATATCAATATTTTCGACCATCAGTTTCGAAATAAAGCGAAAATCAGTAAACGTAATTGTAACAGATCAAACACACCACCAGCAAATATAGTTTACTTTGGGCTTTCATTTTTGGACTTTCCCTCAAGATTTTAAAACACGTATGCTAGAGAGAGGTACACCCTTAAAAGGAATGCTTTGTTCCCCTCTCCAACCGATGTGGAATCTCACAATCCACCCCTGCTGGGGATCCAGCGTCCTTGCTGGCACACCGTCCAGTGTCTGGCTCTGATACCATTTATAACAGCTCAAGCCCACCGCTAGCAGATATTGTCTTTTTTTTCCCTCAATGTTTTAAAACGCGTTTGCTACAGAGAAATTTCCACACCCTTATAAGGAGTGCTTTGTTCCCCTCTCCAACCGATGTGAGATCTCACAGCAATCATCGGCAAATCATGATTTAATCGAAAAAACTTACAAGTGTTTGCCTTCCGGTGGCGTGTTTGGGTGGCGGCCATCGCTGCAACATGGAAAAGATGAATCTGATCACGGCATGATATTAACAAATATTGCTTGATTACAAAACTGAACTACTTGAGACTTCTAATCCACACCTTACAGAAGTTCGTAAACAGAGGAAAGATTATGGCATCATTCACTACAACTTCAGCATGTCTCCTCACCAAAGCGATCCACTGAAAACATTACAACAATTGATCATACATTCTAGGAACTGCTTAAGATCAGTATCTTACTTTGACAGTAGACAAAGTAGCTAAACCTGGGAGCCCTTTCGCCATTTTTCCCGTGGTATAACAGGCAACATCTCGGGATTATATCGGCCTTCGCCAACATTCAAAAAACTACACTACACAGAAGCCAAGCTACTTAAAATCAACATATTTGAATACCAATACTAAAGTAGAAAAAGATTACTTTTCCCAAAGTGTAAAGTCAGTATACAAAACGGTATCGGATTTACGATATCAACGGTTTCATTACCAACATTTCGAATACATACCTGTCGACAAAGCTTTTTGTAGAAGACATCAGATAACGGTAAGTATGGCTGAAGTTATGCAGAGGTATGCAGCTGCAGTTACCATTAAAAAACTAAATTTCTTAGACTATTAATGAACAGTTTCGAACCTTCGAGCACCAAAACATGAAGATCGAAACAAACCTATCGGAAAGAAGGACAAATCTCTGATTTGCTGGATCAGCAAGAGCTGCACCAAACAACAGGCGTTCTGCTTCTATCATGGTAGAATCTCCCCATAGTACCTGAACGTTTGATGGCCATAAGATCAAGCCAAGAACATTGAGAAAGAAGGAAAGAAAATCAAGGAGTACCTGAATACTGTTGTTCAATTGTCTGCCATAAAAGAAAGAAGACTTAGTGGTTGATTTGTCATAAACAAAGCCTGGTTGTGAGTGAATGTAAATGGAAAATTTGGCTTGGTTTCCATTCTGTGGATTTCATCAATCAAGAACAAAAATGTAAGAGCTTTTATGAAAAGAAACAACATTCAAATGCAGGGCATACCTTGAAGAAGCTGGCCCAGATAAAATCAAGAGGAAGGTTGCTGCGAGTGAGGAACAGAAAGGCAATCTTAGGAGGTGATTGAAAGCCATGGCTATTTTCTCCAAAGCCATTGTTTCTGAACTGGTAAGTGAAGTTGGAGGACTGAAACTTGAACTCATCAGAATGGAATATCAGGATGGCCAATGTCAACAGCATGGCACACACAACCACCACCACCTTTGAACCGGCGGCCGCCCCCGCAGTGGCGGTCGAACCTTTCTTCTTTGTCATAGTTGCTTGATCCTGTATCTGTGACTGAATCTTACCATAGCTAACACAGTTTTATAAGAGGGTCGTTTAAATTGAATGGTAGTTTTTGCTGCATTAATGGTTGAGTTACAAAACATTAATTTCAAATTCAATTCATGCAATGTTACTATTTTGAAGTCCGTTTTGTTGTTGTTGTTAAACATTCAGAAAAATTAAAGTCACAAAAGCAACTCCACTGCAGAACTCCATGCTTATGTCTCTTGAACTTCCTCAATATACAACTTCCATTGAAATCTTGCAAACAATTTAATTGTCAAATACTTTGTATCTACTTTGGTTAATTACGTATCAACTTTTCTTTATTTAGTTTCTAGAAGTCTTGTATGGTCGGTGTGAGTACACTAAGAAACTTGTAAAAGGAGAAAAAACGATCAAGAATTAACATTTAATCCTTTGAGGTGTGTGTATATATATGACAAGTCTAAACAAGAAATTCAATCTCGATGGATTGGGAGGCGATTTGTAATAGCGAGATCTGAACCAAAGAATATATCATTTCTGCATTCAGTGGAGTCCCAATTATGGAAGAACAATCACCCAGTCCAATGCCTTAACAGCAACCATTTTTTTCTTTACACTTGTTCAAGTGGTTCCAATGAATGAAAAGCCATACTTGATCCTGATGTTCAAATTCCATAATCTAATTTTGATTTCTTGTAAAATAAGCCACTAGACATCCCAGCACAGCACCTGCAACAACCTGTTATCGATACCAGAGAGTGAATATGAATTAACAAAATTCTTTCCATCTGGATGAAGTTGACTAGAACAATGCATCATTATGAAGATAATACACAATATTAGTGCTTCAAAATGAGTCATTTTAGATAATAATAAAACAAGGCTAACAAGACAATATCCATTGTCCCAATCCAGTTGGATGATATTAAGTTAATTAACGGTCAGCAGCAGCATTACAATACTTAGCTTGGAAAAACACAATGCAAATGATTATTGCATCTGATAGTATTCAAATAATTAGCATATAAGCCATAGCAAAAAGTGGCATTTCGTAGTTTACCTTCAATTTTTTTTTTTTTTTTTTTTTT